ACGCACACCCATTATCACATAGACATACACGTAGTATCTTCTACTCAAGTTTTCTAGTACGACTTTGTTTTTTACCCGAATGGTGTTAATGTTGGCTTTTTTTTCTTTTTCTTTTTTTTATTTTTTTATTTTCTTTCAAATGGTGTTATTGTAGACTTTTCTTTGTTGGACTGATGGTATAAAAATGGCCCAACTTTTTGTATGACATAAAAGTATTTGATATAAAAGAATATGCGTAAGGGAGAAATGCTAAAAACAGATTGACTACATATGATTATGCCCTCATTAAAATGTTGTAATGCGTTGGTCTTGCGCTTCGGTAATTAAAATTAGCATAGAAGCATTTGATATTTGAGAATATGCATTTGGAAAAATTGACAGGGATCATTGTTTGCATGACTCACGTGATCTGACATTTGAAAATTAAGCGGATTTGTGACAGAAATTAGGAGTTTTTTTCTTGTTATTTTGGACATGTTTCTATTTTTTATTTTTGTCTACTGTAACAATTTTATATCTCAACATATTTTTAAAATTTTGAATGCAGTGCAGTAATTTTAAATTAACATTCCAACAATTACATAAATGAGTTAAATTCTTAATTTAATAATATTATAAATAACACAATTTAATATGTTGCCCATTTTTGTGAAATTATTTTCATATCTGTAGGTTGAGAATTAGAATTTAATATAAATAGATAAAAAAAAGTTAATAATAAGTCCTACGAATTTTTTTTTTTTAATCGACACGTTTCTGCTAAAAATCGTTAAGTCAACAAGTTACAGAGAAGAGTCCGAAGACAGAAAAACCCTGGAACTTTATCAATGGCTATCCCTTGCCGCCTCGCAAACAGAACCACCGGTTCAACCCTCTTCTTCACCAACCTCCTCCTCCTGAACCGTTCACCACCGGTGGTAGCCTCCACTCGATACTTCGTTGCTCGTTCGATCCAGTACATCGGAGCTCCACCCAATTATCCCGGTAAAGAAACGTTGAAGCCGTTCACCACCGGTGGCTGTTATCGCTCCTTCAACTCCTCAGTCGTCCCCAATGACGATGATGACGACGAGGACAACAGCGATCGATATTCCGACGAAGGTCTTCCCGAGGAATAAGTAACGACTCGTACAATCAATATTGTCTCTCTGTGAATCTTTCACGCCCTTTTATTTACTACTTTGTGTTTAGTTTTCTTGGCTCGTCTCTGGTAATGTACTTTGATTCATTTTGATATATGCATATGTATGTATATACAGTTCATGGGATGGGTAAATTGGACTTTTTGGAACATCCGTTTCTCACGCAAGGTTCAAGAGTGATGTGCTACAGAGAGGATTACTCGCTTGAGACGGTAGTGAGGGTGGACATGCCTGGAATCTGCCAAGATGGTCTGAATATTCAGATAAAAAAGAATGCAATCCACATCCAAGGGAAGGCAGAGAAAGAAGCTGATTATTATGATGAGGAGGATGAGGAGCCGAGGATATACTCCTTCGTCATTGATCTCCCTCCCGGTATCTACAACACCGACCAGATCGAGGCATCGTTGAAGTTTGTTGTTTTGAAGATTGTGATTCCCAAGCATGGTCGCGTGATTGTTTGTGGAGGAACTCACCCTAGAGCTACACGTTTGTTTGAAAGGCTGAATTAGGTATATATGTGTGTGTGTGTGTGTGTGTGTGTGTGTGAATTTTCTACTCTAGTTAAAAATATCAGGATGAGCATGTTAAGATCAATGTGTTTTAAGCTATATTATGATCAACTGTTTCTTTATGTTGTTTTTTTGGTTCATTTGAGATAGATATTTAGTAATGAAAGTACTCATAATTAAAAACCTATATATATTAAGATAAGAGTTTTATATAGAATATGATTGATTTTGTTATGTAATTTTTAGAGTTTTATATAAACTATAATTATTCATAAAAAATAACTACAAATAAAAGTTTTATATAGAATGTGATTGATTTTGTTTGGTAATTTTTAAAGTTTTATAGAAACTATTTTTACAAACACTATTTTTATATCAATTAATAAATATTTTTTCATATAAATAAATAAATAATATATATATATATATATATATATATATATATCTTCTTTATGTTTCAAGAAGGATGTCCCTTTTGATAAACTTTAACCTTTAAAAATGTCTCTTTTGATAAATTTAACTTTTAAAAAAGGCAGTTTCTTTTAGAAAATTCTTACCATATACTTTTTCTCTTCTTAAAAGGATTACTTTTTTGTAAAACTGTACAGAAAAAGTATATAGTAAGAGAACTTTTTAGTCCCATATTTTTGTCCTTAATTGTGGGGATTGAATGGTACCATGTTAATTTATCAAGCAACTACGACGAAGACGATTGGGACAGTGACCACAACTTCGACCCCTACAGAAAGAACAAGGAAACCAAGAAGAACAGAGAAGAAAAGCAGCCGACGCCAATCGATCCGATCTGGAAGACGATGCCGCCAACGGCCATCCCGTGGCTGAACTGCAACTGTGTGGCTTCAGGCTCCACTGTGTACGCCATCACGAAGGGTTCTCGTATCTGTTCGGTGAACGCCGCCGATCTCTCAGGTCGCTGGAGTGCGATTCAGCCCAGTGCTAGTAGAATCTTGTACTCTCATGCGGCGGCTCTTGACGGTAAGATTTATCGATCTGTTTGGTGCACGACTAGCGTGTTGCTTTGACGAAGAGCCATATGATTCTGATTTCACGGTGGCGGAGGTTTTCGACACCAACACCAATATGTTTGAGACAATTTTGCCGCCTCCGCTCCAGTTTCCTCCGTCTACCCAAAAGGGATGCTTTGCGGTTGCTGATCCTTCACATGAAAGGATCATATTGGGTTCGTTCCGTACAGGGGTCCTCCTTGCCTACCACGCTGGGAAACCCTAGACCTGCAGTTTCATAATAGGTTTTGTGCCAGCACGAGCCACGCTGTGTTGTTTGACAATACTCTCTAAAGATATAGAGGAGAGGACTTGGGGTACTAGAGCTCACTACTAAGCTTGACTTCACTAGACACTAGCAATTGTATATCAATGGGGAAATTGAATTGTAACTTGTGTGTGTGTGACATTAATTGAAACTAGGCATGGATGGAAAATAATTGGGACTGAAGTATCCGAAGTGGGTGGCATGGCCCCCCAAACTTGGGATGAACTGTGGTCCTAAAAATTGGTACTTGGATAAGCTCATTAGATAACAAAATTTACAAAAATGGCCCTAGGGGTAGTCTGGTAATTTTCAGTAGCTGAAAGGGCCCTTCACGCGCCCCCACGCGCCCAAAAGTTTAGTAGCATTATCGCCATCATTTGTTTGTTAATCTAAGTCATGTAAACTGATGTACAGAGAGTTGAACTAGTCTATAACTCTTTGAGAAGCCTTAATATTACTCTGGTTCACATGATTGATTGTTTGGGTTTTTGGGGAAGAAGGTGGGATTTTTGCTTATGACTTGGATTGGAAGACGACCATTTTCGGTGGGCCTATCATACATCTACCTCCTGTTTTCTATCGCAACTCAGAAGTGGTTAACTGAGACCACTTTTCTTTGGATTTACGGAGATACAGACACACAAACTCTGGTTCAGTTCGTTAGAGTAAGAGTATGCTGGAAAACACCGGAAAAGCTCAGAGCTTATACTCTCTCCCAGCAAACTTACCAAGTTGACGGGATTTTATCCCTGACCGATGGTGTAATGCTGTAGCTCATTCTCTCGCTTCTTTCCTTTCCACCTTTTTGAGTTTTAAGGTCACTGTTGACCAATTCTTTTTTAATTCTGGTCACCAAAATCTAATTTTATCTATTATTTCTGTTAACTAAATTTATCTAACTCATTATTCAATTTATGAAAAAATGCATCTGCTTGTCATTTATTAAATTTGCTCTTCATTTATTTTGGTTAAATATAATTTTTTTATTATTTTTTAAACAAAGGGAATTTTTATAATCAAATAACCATGTCTTTAGAGATTACATCAAGTAGCCAAAGATTCCACTGTAAATAAATGGTTCCAGTGGAAGAATTCAATGGGTTATTCCACATTTCTTGTCGGCTGTTTCTAGTCGAATAGCCCCATTGTTAAACAATCTGTATGGCATAATCTGTGGCATCATTCCACAATTCTTGAAACCAACACCATGTTTGAATCCAACAATATTCAGTTTTAGGGAAATTGAACCTAATAGACTTAGTTTCCAAATCACCTGAATTACAGGACATTTAAAAAATATATTTCTCAAAAAATATTTTAGTTTTTAAGGTATTTTATTTTATTTCTAGGTATTTAACAAAGGTCTAGGGACAAATTAATGAATGAGTAGTTTATTTTGTTAGATTTTAATAAAATATTTTACTTGCAAAATATTTTACATCCAAACAAACATACCCCGCCCAGTTTCATCAGCTAAATTATTACACAAATCACACTTTGCATCATCTACCATCCCTTTTGGTTAAGATTCCATAAACTAGGCACCCTTTCATGAGAGCATTGCCATAGCATCTTCAGCCCAAATATCACTACTCGTTGAGAATGATGAATGCTTTTCTTCCACAAGCTAAAAGCTAACTTATATGCAGTACGAACATTGATTTTCCCATATGAATTTTTAAGCCCCATATTTTTGTATCCACTCACTCTTAATTGTCTTAGAGGATCCAATTTCAATTCACAACTACTACTGATATTGATTCAAGGGTTTGAATTTTAATTGCCAAGTTGCAAGGAAATATTATTTACAAATCTCTCTTATTCTATTATATGATGCATCATCATACAGATACTCATATATATCTTGTTCCATAACATATGCACTAATATATATATATATATATATATATATATATATATATATATATATATATTTTCTTCGGAAGTTCAAACAAATACACGTACGCAGCTAGACAAACACACCAACAAGTTAGTGGCCTAGCGCTACCGGACCCTTACTTCTAAACAAAGAGACAAACACCAAATGAGAGTACTAGTGGGATGCAACCAAGATCGAATTCTGGTTAGCAATCCAAACGATAGCATCCTCCTTAAGGAAATGGCAGATAGGAACAGTATTCCCCGGTTTAAGCTTGAGCACTTGGAATGCCAAATTCTTGGGATCCCATTCCGCCGTATCAATGTGGCATATTGCTACTGCTTTAGCTTTTGTACCATCTGCACCCACCAAAGAAACCATGTATTCTTTGGTAGAACGTGTTTTGTGGCAGTAAAACACAGCATATTCATAGTTTTGCTTATGACACACCACTGCATCCTCACCCACCATCTTTGCTCCTGCAATGCTATAGTACTTCTTGACTTGAACAGTTTCTTTTTCCACCATTTTCGCGATTGCTTGCACATTATTATAATTTCCGAGCTTGGATGTGCTGAAATCTATCATTGACTCCAACGAAGTCGCGCAGTACTTCTCCTCTCCTTTAATTCCAGGCTTCTCGCAGAGTTCGATTATTTTCTTCATTATATCGGCCTCAGTCGAGTAGGGTTTCATCGAAAAGTAATTCAAGATTTGTTGCATCTTATTGGAGGAGAAGGGTATTGATTCAACAACCTGACGAGGTTGGAAAGTAGCTGCATTCTTGCTTTTTGGTAAGTGCAAGTTCATGGTCATGCCGGGCTTCATGTCATTTTCCAAGAAGTAATCAGCTACGTCGGTGGTGTCATGAAATTGACTAGCGGAATAAGTATGTAATACATTTGTCGTTTATGTCAATATTGGTGCCAACTCCCGCCTTTCTTTTCCCTGCAGCAACGTTTACACATTAGGTTTTTTATTATTACTATTTTTTTTCTTCTTAATTGATACTCACACACACATGTCTCCACTAAGTTCGAACCCCTAACCTTTTTTTAAAAAGTATAAATTTGGTACTGCTAGGCCACTGGCTTATTGGCCTTACAAATTTTTTTTCCCCCTCCATTTTTTTAACCATGTCATAAGGGAGTAAATAACTCGAATAAAATACAAGTAAATGGTGTATTGTGCCTAGTATAAAATTTTGGAAGAAAAATAAAAGAAAATAAGGGATTTGGAGGGATATAAATTACGAAGATTGAGTATTAAAAATTTTTAAATTTTTTTTCCAATTAAATCACGTGGAAATAGAGTTTTAGATTATAAGATGAACCAGGGCGCAGAAGATCCATGATAGCTTTTGGCATATTGCAACAAAAAAAAAAAAATAGAAATGCACTCAATGCCTCATACTATTGTTTCAACAACAAACAAATACAATATTTACCCAAAAAAAGAAAAAGAAACAAATACAATACCTTTCAAAAAAAAAAAACACACAAAATATCATATTATATTTATACATGCCTATGAGGGCGGCCTTAGTGCAACGTGAATGGCGGAGCCAGGATCTTGAGGTTGGGGGGAATCAAAATTATAAACAACATTACCTAGTTAGAACTTAAAAATATATATATATATATATAGGCAAAAATATTTTACTATTTATTATACTCGTACAAAAATATATCTATCTAAACTTTTACCAATTTATATAAATAAAAAAATTAGTTATTTAAAAAAACTTTTTATCAATCTTTCTGAATAAATATAAATAAGATTTATGCCAGAATTATAAAAAAATTTCAATTAAACAATTAGATTTTAATTTATAAAAAAAATAAGAAATTCATGTAATACTTGTACAAATTAATAATCATTACACAATATATCAATAAAAAATAAACAACAATAAATCAACTTTGACTAACTTAAATCAAAGAATATTGGGCAAATAAAAAGAAAAAAAAAAGGTGATAAATAAACATTTTTATTTTTTTAGAAACTTATTTGAGATGCAAAACAAAACTATACTACAATATTAATATTGAAAAATGCATATATTGGATCTTGAAAGAATGCTATGTATTCTTAAAAACTAAAAATCAATACAACAATATACCAAGTAAAATTTTGAGAAATTCAACTTTTCTAGAGATTAAGAAAATGATAACTAATTAGTCTAATCCAATCCAAATTTAAGAAAGCTAAAAATAAATAAATAAATAAATAAATACACACCCACATAAAAATACATATATATATATATATATATATATATATATATATACAAAATTTATATAGAGAGAGTAACAAAAAAATCTTTGAGATTAACCTGGATTACAGTGTGCATAAAAATTATCTACACTAATGAGAAGAAGTGATTTCTTAGGTCAAATCAATACATGTGTGCACTGAAATAAGGGATTTTTTATTTTTATTTTTTTTTGAAAGTTACATTGAAATAAGGGATTGTAAGGATATAAACTTTATTTATGTGTGTAACTTGTCTCTCTACACTTTCTTTCTCTAAGGAGAGAAAGGGCAAACAAATTCAAGTGGGGAAACAAACAAAACAAAAAGGTGAAAAGTGTGGATGAAAAACATTAAATAGCAGTGTAAAAATAGGTATTTTAAAACCAAAATATAAAATGCCTTTCAAAACAAAAACTCTCCAAAAATAAATTAACAAAAATAACTCTTTATTTACCAAAAAGAAAAATAACAAAAATAACTTCTAAAAAAAGTAACAATTGAAAATTTAACAAAACAATAACAAATGATAAAAAAAAAACCACAAACAAATTAATAAAATAACAATTTAGATTCTTCAATTATCTATTTTTGTTGATATTTAAAACTTCAAATGAAATTTTTGTTCTAGATTTTGTAAAAATTAATTTCTTATAGAATTCTTATACAAGCATTCCAATAAAAAGGAACCAGGCCCAAACAAATCAGAACTACCAACCAACCTTAGAACGAGGTGGGAACATCACATTTATAAGTTAGGAACAGATGTAGTGGAGACTAAGAAAATGAGAAGAAGGGATTGGGTGTGTTCGGCTTATAGAAAGATGAGGGAAGGTTCCAGTCTGCTGCAATGCAGTTTCTGTATAGAGACACTTACATTTCTTAACTTACTGTATCAACGATCAATCTCAAAGTCTTCAGTGGAGGAGTTGATTTGCTTTGGAAAATGCGATTGTTTCTCTCCTTCCAAATGTGATCGACAAAACTCGCTAATGTGAGTTTCCATGCGAGTATTCTACTGAATTTTAGTTTTTGCTTCCAATTTGATGAGGCCCAAATTAGGAACTTGTACCATGAATTTAGGTTTGTATAAAACCCACACTTGTCTTAAAGTTTTCCCAAATTGTCTTTGAGTATGTGCTTTGGTTGAAGAGATGATTATGATCCACTGTTGCCTTGTGGCATAACAAACAGATGTTCGATTGCATAGTGAAGTGGAAAGAGTGTTTGTACTGTGTGTGGAGTCTGCTTTGGATAGCTAACCAAAGATAAAATGAGTGTGTTTTGGTGTTGATTTGCTAAACCAGACAAGCTTGTGCCAGTGGACATTGAGGCTTGTCTGAGATTTGGATTTCGATCAGGGTATGATAGAGAGAGTATGTCTTGTTTGGAGAAATAGTCCATTGGATAGTGTCGACAACGCTAAGGTTGGGTAGAAGTAGGGAAGTGATATCACAGTGAGGGGTGACATAGTTTTCTGATGTGGCTAGGTCATACCCACTGGTTGTCTGAGATGAGATTTGAAACTTTCATGTGTTTGTTGATGTTCCAGCCAAGAGGTCTGTATGGTAACCAATTATCGAAGTAAACCACTGTTGAGGTGCCATCATTAATTTTGTGCTTGATAATTGGCTATTCAAGATTTCTGTGTTGGAGATGTGAGATATAAAATTTGTATTTGGCGAATTTCATTGTCAAAACAAGTCCGATTGAGTTGTAATTTTAAGTTCAAATTTCAAATTCGAGATTAGAAGTAAAATTGAAGAGTTGTTCGTGATCAACACCTTGATGACTTCGAAAAGGGTAAGAACAAAACTTTAGGAAGCTTTGTTAGAAGATAAGAACACTTGAATGTCTTCGAAAAATAAGCGTTGCCGAATTTTTCTAAATATAAAAACCTTCAATTCAAGAATGTCCAACTTAAACCGGTTCAAGAGCAGCTGAACCGGTTTAAGTGTACATTAAAGGTTTGTTTTTAAAAAATACACTAACCAACTTAAACCAGTTCAAGGGCAGCTAAATCGGTTCAAGTTTTACAGCAATTTTTGGTAACTTTGTTTCCTACTATGTTTTCACTTCCTATTCTGTATAGATTTTTTCCAAAACCCTTATGCACGAATTTGACTTATTTTACAAGTACAATTATGGTTTCAAAAGTCTATATGAGCATATTTTCTCACTTAGGGTTATGTGACTTTTTGCATTAAAATTCTAATTTTTCATTAAGAGCCTTTTTTTGTGAGATTTTTTTAGAACATACACACTATATACACACAAGTGAATTAGGGTATTATTTGAATCTTGATCGTATTCAAGTCTATTGAAGATTGTATCTACAACGATAAGAGAAAGCAAATTTTATTTCTTCTACAACAAATTCAGATTCGAAGAAAAAGAATTTCCGATCACACTTTGAAGGGATCAAGACGCTTGTGGAGTGTTGTTGATTTACCAAAAATCCTTCTCCAAGGTTCAAGGCATAAATCTGAAGTCGAGAGCTGTTGGACAGGAAGTCGCAAAGTTAGGGACGTTCAGCAAATTGAGTCTTGGTAGAGTAAAGGGGTTTGAGTCCGGGTCAAAGTTCGGTATACTTTGCTTCACACATAGTGAATCGTTTTATGCTTGGGATGGCGCATAAAACCTCAAGATTTTTTAATTGGTTTCCTCGCTAAAATCCGATATCACTCTAAACCTTACTTGCTTTTAATTTGTGTGTGATTATTTAAATAATCGGTAATTTTAGTTTAGTTTTATTTAATTTCGTTTCATGGTTGTGTAGAAATAAAAGTGAATGTGTGACTAAAAAATAAATAAATAAGGATAACACTTTTTTACTCCTTTATTGATTGCTAATGCGGTACAATCAAAATTAAGAAATTAATAAATAAAGAAAATAAGTTTTTTACAAATAAACTATGTAACCCTCGGTGTTCGTGATTAATCCCTCTGTAAAACAGTTTTTAAAACTCAACTTTCCACATTCTATTAGTTGGTTGCACAACTCATAGGAGAAGCTTCCTCCAGAACCAAGTTGTTGTTAACAGTGAGTTCCCATAGGATTTTTTGCTTGATGAGGTATTTCTGAGTCCATTTCTTCCGTAGGTTGTTGTCTAAATTTTCCCATAGCTGGTTCTGCCCAGAGAAATCTCCGAAGAATATTGTCAATTAGATTATTAACTTTATTGGGCAGGATGAGCAGGTTGGTCCAGTAGATGTGGGTACTGAAGAGTGTTCATTGAATGAGGTGTAACCTCCCTACAAATGACAAAGCTTTTGCAGTACAATTTGTAATTCTTGTCAGCAAGCTATCCACCACAGCTTGGCAGTCAACTACAGTGAGTCTGGTGGTGATCAGAGGGATACTAAGATATTTAAATAGGAGAGTGCCACATGGAAATTGGAAAAGAGAGTTAATCTCAGTCATAGTAGAATCAGGAACTGAACAGAAAATAAGTTGATCGACTCTTTGAGGGATTAGAACTTGGCCAGAGAGTCCAGAGAATGTATCCAAGGCTTTTTTAAGGACTCTAGCTGAATATATATATATGTCCCCATTGCAAAACATGAGGACAACATCAGCAAATGTGATGTGAAAAATATTCAAAACCTTACACCTAAGTGTGATAATTGACAATGGA